CTGTCTCTTTGAGTTAATGATCATGGGTCTAGAGGATTTTAGGCTTGAAATGGGAGACTTACCTAGAGTCTACTTCTGCAAGTTTTTGTTATAGCTTTATCTGAATTTGGATGGATTTGTGTGCTTTTGTTGACAATAAAAAATTTCTGGGAATATAATAAATAAATTGGTGTTGCAGGATGGAGATAGGAATGAAGGGAGGTAGGAAAGAAAAGAATCATCTTACCTTTCAGCTTTACAATATAAGAATTATCCATATGATCATTGCCATTAAGAGTACCAATCTTACCCACCAATCAGGCCCAACTGCTGAAAATAAGATCAAAGTAAACTGAAGAGTGTAGTAAAAATAAGGCATTTTTTAGTATACAATTCTACAGAGGCTAACACCAGCATAGAGAAAAAGCAAAAATGTTTGGCTCACTGATCTGGTATCAGACAGTGGTTTTTACAGTTCTTGCATAAAGAGACACTTCTATCATCTTTTGCTATAAACCAGACTTCCATCCATCTCAAATTCCTATCTCAGGGCCCTAGTATACAAAGCATCATCTAACAAACACTGTGGAGCCTGAGGCTGCCTCCCTCCCAGTTCCTGACGCTGGGCTTAGTCATAGAACTCCATGGTCTCAGTCCTGAAACAGGAGGCCCAGCCTCAGACCTCAAACTACACATTAACATAATCCCACAAAGACCACCACCAGGAAGACAAACATCACACACCTCTGGAGAAAGTTCAAAACTCTGGGTTGGAGGGGAGTGCCTATGTTAACCCTATTAATGCAAATATATTTTTTACAAAGAACTTTATCTATAAAATGTATTATTTTAAAAGAAGCATGCAGACTTAATTAGGAATTCAACTACATATGTTACTGTGAAAGAAATGCAATTGCATCTAGTCTGAGAAATTTTAGGTTTTCTCCTATCTAGTTTACTCATGATTTGTGGTAAAATTATGATAAGAGGTATTGTATGACAGATTACATGAATGAGTTGCATGAACCCAGCATTTTAAAAATGATCATATACCCAACTCTCCACTCCACTTAATTCAGGAAAAGCTTAGATTATACACAATAATAAGGCTTTATCACCACTTAAGTTTGCCAAGTAACAATCATTCTGAAAACACAGTGTCATATTGAGGTTACCTGGATGCTGCCGATGCTGCCAATGAGTTTACCAGTGGTGTGTATCTTTTATTCCTTACACATGCCATAAGTCTCTGAATAGAAACACAGTGGGATTTAGGAGGGTGCCTCTGTTTCCCCATCTTCCCTTATCCTGGACTTTGGAAGCAAATCCAAAATGTTCTCACACTGAGCTGTCGTTCCTCTGAAAAGAACTTCCATGCCATCGTGACAACTGTTTTCTAATGGTAGACTGTGAGTTCAGAATGTAATGGCCACACCTATCTGCTGCAAAGTCAGCAATGATGTTCATTTGACAGAGGATGCAGTGGAGGGAGAGGGTGGATGGGATAACTGTAGATAAAGTAGAAGGTATTCTATTTCTGCGAGTATGGTACAAGTAAGTATAAATAATGTAAGATTCCAGCCTTATGAAGCTCACAGCTCATTGACAAGGGGTTTTCGTCTCTTAGGATAAGACTCAAAGATTTAGGTATAACCTAGCAGAGAGGAATCCCACCCCCTTTTGTTTCTGTCCATGCCTCGTAATGTGGCGTATGTGAGTATGCATGTGTGTGTGTGTGCGTGTGCATGATAGTGCAGTGCACTCACACAGGGATGACCATGTGCTTTTCACATTTTTAAACTTTTCTGTTTGTGCATATATGTGTAGTGGGTATATATGTGTAGTTGTAAGTTTAGGGGAATAGGATGGGTATGGGTGTATACCACAGTGTGCATAGGTCAAGGGCAACTTCAGGTATCAGTCCTTGCTTTCACCTATTTGCCACAGGTTTCTTGTTGTACATCCCTGTGTGTGCTGTGTTATATGGCCCATATATTTCGGGGGAATCTTTTGTCTCTGTCTCCCATCTCACCACAGGAGTGCTGGGGTTACAAACTGCACGTGTATTTGTGTGCTGCTGTGTGCAGCTTTGTGTAGGTTCAGGGAATCTGAACTCAGGTCCTCACGGTTTCACAGCAATGTCACTGAGCCATCTCCCCAGCTCATTTGTTGTCATTGTTTGTTTTAGGTTCTGTTTTAGCCAATATATCTACAAACGCGTGTTAAATACAAGATCAGCTAACAATAAGAGACAGTGTTACTCTTACTGCTGTTTTAACCCAATGTATCTACCCTGGAGTTTGAGGTACAAGGTCGCTAACGACAGAGTGTAGTTCTTTCTTTCCACCTCATATTCTGTTACCCAGTCTTCCTTGAGACTCCTAAGAAAGAGAAATGGCTAGGCTAAGGAATGGTCTGGCTTTTCCCCAAGTCCCTGGTCAAATTTCTCCCGGATGTCAGTCACCCTCAGTCATCCTTCCCTAGTTTTAACAGTCGATTCTGGCCTGAGTCCCCAGGTTTAACAGTTCATTTTAGAGAGTTCAGCGGTGTAATGTGAAAAACACTCTCTGATTACCAACATACTCTTTCTATCAAGAGCCGCTAGCACTCCCAGCTCATTGCATTTGGAAGTATTCCTCATAACTCTCCACATAATAACGAGCTTCATGGCTCACTCATTTCTGTCTATTTTCTACACTAAAGCCAGAATTATCTTTTAAAGCCTGTCTATTAGAACACCCTGCTCTCTGACTCAAAAGTCTAGGAACACTCTCTGGAATGGGACTGGAGACACGGCTCAGTGGGAAAGACCGCTTGATTAACAAGTGTGAGGACCTGAGTTCAGATCTCCACTACCTGTAGAAAAATGCTAGATACATCATACATGAAGCTATAATCCTAACACTGTCTGGGAAAGCAGAGAGACAGGAAGATCACAGTTATACATATGCTACACACACACACACACATACACACACACACACACACACACACACAGAATTCTTGTCGTACGTGAGAGAACATTAACACACCCTAGAGGTCCTGCATTAGCTGGCTCCCAACTCAGCCCTGTTTCTCTTTTGGCTCCTTCTACATGCGGCACTCTTTCCTTGGGCATTTCTTGCTGGCTTCCGTCAGTCTCTGCTTAAATGTTACTTAATCCCTCTCAGCCAGGCAGTGGTGGCACATGGCTTTAGTTCATCACTCAGGAGGTAGAGGCAGACAGACATCTGTGAGTTCTAGGCCAGCCTGGTCTACAAAGATACACAGAGAAACCCTGTCTCGAAAAATAAAAAAAAGAAATTCCTCTCATCATCACTGCATCAAAATTATAGTCTTCGCCATATACAGAATATGTATACACATACACAGAGTTCTGGCTCTTCTTTACGTCACCCATATTTTATGTTTATTAGCTTGTTGTTCTACTTATTTGCTGTAGTAAAAACTCCACTGGTGAGAGCACCTGGCCACATTCACACTCCTAGCATAGGGCCTCCAAGAACAGAGTAGATACCAATGAATTTCAGCAGAATAAAAGTATGTGTTCACTTGTGCTAAACTTGCCAGTCAAGCTGTCCCTCAGAATCCTGCCTGCTGCAGTTACAAAACCTGAATTCTCTGGCTGATGAGGTGACTCAGTTAAGTGCCTACCACACTAGCAGGCATGGTAGGGCAAACCTATAAACCCAGTGCTGAAAACCAGATCCCTGGAGCTTGCTGGTCAAACAATAGAGGTCTCAGTAAGCTCAAGGTTCAGAGAAAGACCATGTCCCAAATAATATGGTGATGAGTGACTGTGGAAGGCACAAGGTTTTGACCTCTGGCTCCACATATAAAAGCCCACACAACATCTCTCCACCCTCATCCTCCACCTAAAACTACCTAATTCTCTCATTGGCAGCCAGGTACTGGTGGTGAGCCCTGATTGAAGGGCTACATGTTGTACACATCAAATTTCAAAACGTCAGTATGAAAACTGACCTGTAAAAAAATCTTAACTGAAACTTTAGTTGAAACAACAGTAATTTGTATGCATTAAGTAAAATGAAAATATCGCTGTAACAGGTTCCATCTGTTTGTCTCTTTTAAACCTGTCTACTGAAAAAAATCTTCAATTGACATCTGAGTGCCATGTAGTTGTAATCATGTAGTGTGATGGCTTCTCTCATTTAGGAATGCACATTGGTAGTTCTCCCATGCCCTCCAATGGCGTGGGAAAGCATTCCCCTTTGTACTGGATAACACTATATTCTTGCAGGTTGCACATCTCATTTATCCATCCACCTACTAAAAGACATCTTTTCTGCTTTCAAGTTTTGCCAATTAAGGATAAAGCTGATATAAACATCCATGTGCTGGTTTTTGTGCAGACATATGTTTTCAACACTCAGATGACAATTGCTGAATCATATGGTAAGAGCATGTTTAATTTTATAAGAACCTGCCCACTGTCTTTCCAAATGGCGGCAGCATTGGCATTCCTACCAGCCATGAATGAGAGTTCCTATCCCTCTATATCTCTACATCCTCAGCAGCATCCCACGGTGTCAGTGTCCTGGATTCTGGGTGCTCTAGTAAGTATCATTGCAAAATAGTTCCTTACTGTTTTGATTTTAAACTTCATCCCGTGTATATTGATTTTAAATTTGTATATTAAGTTTTTATTTATTTGCTTGTGAGTGTGTGCAGTTGCTTCAGTGTGCATGGGTCAGAGGACAACTTGAAATGGTCAGTTGTTGCCTACCACCATGTGGGTCCCAGGTATCAAACTCAGATCAGCAGGCTTGCTGGTAACCACCTTTACCTACCGAGTCATCTCGCTAACCCTTCGTGTTTATCTGACATCTGTTTATACACCCTGGTGATGTTCATGTCTAAATGTTTTTGCAGGGATGTTCTGAGATCCCCATACCTCAGTTGCCTGTGTTCTAGTAACACAGGTGTGCGCAGCTGAGTCAGATTTCTGCATCCAGTGCATATATTGGATAACAGTCCCTTTGTAAATATTTTCTGCTCACCTGTGGCTTTTCTCTCCATCTTTACAAAGCGGTTCACTGAAGCAATCTTCAAACATCTTGAACAAGTATTCTAAAGTAGACATCTTGTATTGGTGCAACAGTGCAGTTACTACAGAAAAGCAAAAGAAAATGACATTTTTTTGTAAAATTGGGACTAATGAAGCCACTTCTGTGGACAATGGTCCTCTTTTTCGGGCTGTGATAAGTATCCACTTCCTGTTCAAAACGTGTTCCCTCCACATCACATCCCTGCACTTACCCATGGACTAAACTTGACTATGTCAGGTCTGTTACCCTGAAAGGGTTAATTTAGGGATTTTTGTTGTTCACAAAGGAGATCTCAGCTCTGAGGGATTTTGTTTGTCTTGTTTTTACTGCCTTGGATGTTTCATACAGTAGCTAGAATATACTTCATTTTACAGGCAAACCACAGCCCAACCTCTCAGCTTCTGATGCTGGGGACTGGCCAGGAAGCCAATTGTGCTGAAGAGAAAGGAGAAGAAATTGCAAAATATTTCTGAGATCTCATCAGGATTTGAAGCTCATCAATTCATCATGAGTTCCAGGGACCCACATGTGTCTATTTCCCTATCACTAGGACCGCAAGTCTATGCACCATGCCAGACTTTTTACACACAGTCTGGGGATTGAATTCAAATCCTCAGCTCACATGCCAAGTGCTTTATACACTGAAAAGTCTTCCCAGCTCCCATCTTGCATCTATTGCATGATTTTATAAACATGATGAAGAAGATCAAGAAGATCACTCCTGCAATCACTGTTGATTTCAGACTATCACCAAAATCCTATTATCTGACAGTGACAAGTTCCTGTGGGATGCTCTTAGTGACTACCCCAGACCTCTCTAAGGCAACTTGTCAAAAGATGTACCATGGGGACAGTTACAAGCTCAGCTTAAACTAACTTGGTACAGTCATTTCTCCTTGGTTTTCTGTCATAGTCAGACCTTTATTTCTCAACACAAGTTCTCTTGGCTTAATGTCTTTATGTCGCTAGTTCCCATTGGCATTCCTGTCATTTCATGAAGTTCTTTCTTCCTGCAGTTTCATCTTCTTCTTTGGCCTTGGGATGGGGTGAAGTACCATAGATTTTCTAAACTTCTAATATTTTGATTGAATTTCTGTCTCTGAATGGAAGAAGTCCGTTTCTATAGTTATTCAAAGCAGAACCACTCAACAAGACTCTAGTTAATATGAGCTTGGTACATACGAAGCCACTCATTACACCACTCAGGGGCAATTATAATGGACTTTAAATGTTGGGCCCATTTTTACTACTCTAAGTTTCATTTAATGTTAAGGAGTTGTCAGTGGTTCAATAAAAGGTGTTTAATATTTAAAATAGTCAATACTTAGAGTTATTTCTTGGGCCTTAAAGGCAAGTGTGACATAAAACTGATGAACTAACTTAGACATAATTCATTTTGTTTCTAAATTAGTTTCTTCAACGTGTGGAACTATCAGTGTTGGGAACCTCACTGGAAAGAAAACTATACAAATTCAAGAGATAACTGATTATCTGTGCCCATCACTGCTCACACAACAGACATTCAACAACTGAAGGAAAGTAATGAAACTGTGGTGCATATATACAATAGAACTTTATTCTGCTATAACGAGAGTGGAATTACAAAGTTTGTAGACAAATGAATGTAACTAGAAAAAAACAATTATACTGAGTGAGGCAACCCAGGCCCAGATAGATAAACAACACATGTTCCCTCACATCTATAGATCCCAACTTGGAATCTTTAGATGTGGGTCAAATGAAAACTAGAAAGGAACCTTTAGTGAGAGATACCTTTCATGAGGTGGGATAGCAGATAGATATGAAAATATATAGGGCCATATTAGAAATAGAATGATTGAAGCAGAGGTATGGGGATGATGAAGTAGTAACCAAAAAGTACATGAAGAAGACATTGCTGTATCAGGGACACATCATGCCTGAGAGGTTGGTATTATATAGTTCAAAAGGTAAACAGATGGGTGATACTGTTGATGCCTTTATTTATCGGAAGCCCATGTAATACCTTTTGACACTATGAAACCTACTGTGTCGATAGGAAGCTAATATATAGAAATCTACTACCTTGTGAAACAACTTAAAAACATATTGTAAAGCAAAAGAAGAAAGAAAGCCTGATTGGCTGATATGGCTGTTCCTAGAAACCATAGGCTATGAAACAAAAACCCCAGTACTAGGTGATGTGTTCTGCCTTATAAGTTGTTGGTTAGGGAAGGCTCCAAGTCCCAATACCATTACATGCTCTTGCCATTTCTCCTGGTTCCCCACCAGACCTAGATAGCTGATGAAGATACACACATTTTGGATGTAAGATATAGAAAATTCAAGCTGCAACTGAACTGGAGGCCTATCTGCTGACTACCTCCCACAGTGTCAAGAAGTGAGAGAGAAGTCAGAATGCATTACACAGGTATATGTTTGTCAAAGAACAAGTTTAATTAGTCTAAAATATTTCTGCATGGATTGAGACACTGTGATTACCAATAGGAAGATTTCCTTTTTAGGTGTTTTTGTTTTCTTTAAAATAAGTTGAGGAATAAACACAAGAAATGAATAATGCAGAACTGAGAGGGTTTGTCCTGATGAGATTATCTACTTTTTGATTAAAGCTAAGAAAATCAAAGTGAGCTGAGAATATGCAAAATACAGCAAATGAGCTGTGCCCATTGTTACACATCTGTCCAGATGACCAGATAGTGAAGTGTAGTGCTGTCCAGTCTGGAAGTATCTGCTTCAGATGAGGACTCACCACAGGGCAGGGTGCCAAGGGTAGAGATGTGTTGGAGATGGATAATCAAAGTGACTGGAATTAGGATGTGACAAACTGATCTAGCCAATTGAGTCTCATTCTGTTCTTATAACCAAGAGCTATACACTTTCATTGTGAGGCAGGTAAATGAGTGTTGGTAATTCCTTATGCATGCAGAGAAATAGAAATTCTACAATTTACTACAAGCTCCTAGCCCAAGAGTTCTAATTCTGTGCTAGTTCCATGACAATTTCAGGAGAGTCACTTTACTTTCCATTGTAAGCCCCTTCACTCCATTCTTCAGGATTTTCTCTGTTCCAACATGAAAACATTAAGTCTGACCACACAATGTTTGACTTGTCTGTCAATTCTCATGGTAGACATTACCAATCAATCACAGCACTACATCCTACTAGCACAAGACACAACCTTAGAAACCTTTCCAACCCACTTCTCCAGGCAGCCACTCCTGACTGGGTTTTTCATTAGGTTGTCCCAGGCAGCAGAGAATTCAGGGGACCATGCTTGATAGAATATTCCATCCTCAAGTTGCCACATCTTACATTACCAGCAATTATAATATGTACAACAGCTCAATTACTGTGTCCAAACTCATCCCCCTAGTCCCCGAATGTGTATTAAATACTATGGGAAAAAGAAATGGAGCTCAGACATAAATCTTATCTTGAGGAGACCAAACTTATCTTTGGGGCAAAACTGAACTGCAGCATAGCACTGCCTATGCAGGGAATTCCCAGTGCCATTGCCCATGCTCTGCTCATAGAAAGCTACAGGAGCTTAGAGAAAAGCAAGGCTTCTCTGGCCAAATGGTGCATGGAAAGAAAAGAACTAGAGATGGGTTTTTAGAAAAAGTATGAGCATGTGAGGGAAGGAGGAGAAAAGAACATTCCTGTCACAAGAAGCTCCATTAAATAAAGCACACGGGCAGGGAATTCTAGGGAGTATATAGGAAACACTGACTGGCTGAGTGTTGGATTGGCAATGTTCTGGAATAACCAGAACAAAACGGAGAGGAAGCCGGTTATCTGGTGATAGGTACTAAACACCAGGATAATACCAGTTTTGGTATTTCTTTTGAACAAGTTGAGGAAGGATGACAGCTGTGAGTTGGCACCTTCATTGCTGTGCAGCAAACTGAGGCTGGCAGAGTCGCATAAAGAATCAGCAACATGGAAACAGGCTTTTGTGAAGAGAGAGCTGCAACTTCCAACTTGAGTTTGGAAGGTTCCTGTACTCCTGTCAGGGACTGCAGCTGGAAGAAGAAGGAAAGTAAATGCCTCTGACCAGCTTCTCCAACCTGTGTTCAATCTTTGTCAGCCTGACCTGGAGAGACTGATGTCCCTTAAGGAAAGATAAGGTATGACCAGCTTGATGACAGAGACCGGGGCACTGACACACTTTGCTTCATCAGTGGCAGGAATATTCGAGAATTCTGTTTGTCTTGTGCTACAACACCATTTACCTGGCAGCCCAGGATTTCAGCATCATCATGGAACAGGGAAGAGAGCCAGAGAAGTGGAGAAGCAGGTGGAGAAGAGAGGTTAGAGAAAACACAAGGGCTCACTACTCTGAGAGCTTAGCAGTGGCTCTCATGCTGCAACCCTTTAATACAGTTCCTCATGTTGTGGTGACCCCAAGCATACAATTATTTTTGCTGCTGCTCCATAACTGTAATTTTGCTACTGTTATGAATTGTAATGTAACTAGTTTTAGTGATAGAGGCTTGCCAAAGGGATCACAACCCACAGGTTGAGAACCACTGGCTTGAAGGCAGAGAGTAGGCTCTAGAGAACTAGCAATTAGCTTGTATTGAACAATTACTGTGACCACATTACAGGTATGGTTGCTGTGTGTCTTCATTTTTCTAACGTTATCACAGATAACTGAGAAAAGAAACAGCAGTGGAGAAAGTCATTTTGGCCCATAAGAGGTCTGAAGAAATCATGGCAGCTGGAACATGAGGGTACACAGAAGCTCACATAATGATGGCTAGGAATCAGAGATGGGTAGGAAGAGAGAGAGGAAGGCGGCCAGAAGGAAGGAAAGAGAGACAGTAAGCATACAAAGTTGGATAAATTCCTCTCTTTCCTTTTGAACCCATCCGACCCTCCAGATATAGAAAGGCACCATCCATTATCAGAGTGACTCTTCCCTCCTTAGTAGATCTTTCTTGGACACACCTAGAGTAGCTCGTCCTGATGTCCTAAGACGCTCTCAATCCAGTCTCATCTACAGTCAAGATGAACTTGAGAGCTTGCTATCTTCCCTACCCTTTCATTAAAGAATCTCAAACTTG